GCCAAGCGAAAGGCCACTGCCATCATGCAGCACCACAAGGTGAGTCCGCACACTCGTGCACACCGCACGCGCACACACGTACACTACGCACGCTTGTGTATCGCCACGTGATATATCGGTACTTGTTTCCCCGATACCGCGTTTCGCGGCACGCCGTAGTTCGGACGCTCGGCACGTATAGTCGGGGACGCTCTTTTCGAATTTTCGGGGACAGTCACCGGGATGGACGGACAGAAGGTACCTTGGACCACCGACGGCGGGTTCGGGGTTGAGGTCCCTCACGTTGAAAAGAGCGAACGGCTCCTCGATAGGCAGAAGAATCGAGTTAACCTTGAGATTGGACGCGCCAGTTTATTTTACGGGCGTGCCGACCCTCGTCCTCCACCCCTGCCCCCCCCACCCCCATCCCCCCATCCGGCGGGCTCCCGCTGAACGTGACGATGAATTTTTCCAGCGCTCCAAAGCTCGAAAAGCTCGCCGGAGCACGGGCGCGCTCCGTTACGTAACTCGTTACGGCGCGCGCGGAACCTAATTTTTTTTTTCGGTGCGCGGGAAGATAAACTGCGAAAAAGTTTTAATTGAAAGAGTTGTGCAAATCCAGCGCAGCGGCGGTGCCGACGACACGTCGAGGTGTGCAGCCAAGTGCGTTCTCTAGTTCGAAAAATTGTTCCCGTGCCCCGCTCGTGCCTCGCGCGCGGAGCACGGTATTACGCGCGCCAAATTACACGCAATGTGTCGCGACGTAGGTCGACTTCTTCTGGACCGTCACGCCGGCCCGCTCGTTTAATTATACTTGCACAACGAGTTGCAAGCCCGGGCATACTCGGCGGCAGAGGAAAAACCATTTTTCCGTTCGTAAAATGACAGTTCGATGCGATTCTTAATGTCCAACGGCGCCCCCGGAGCTGTCTGTTCGCTCGCGTTCCGCATTTAATCCAATTACGATTATAACCGTTGAAAATATAAGCTCGGAGACCTTTCCCGCAGATTTGCGCCAAGGAATCTGTTACCTGTTAATTAGAGGCGCGCTGGCATTTATTACGTTACATAATATCAATAGAGAACAAGTGAACACGGCGCGGCATGAGAATTGTTAGACCGCGAGCACTGAATTCTTGAAATTTATAATCTAATTTACAATCTGATACTTGGCTGTTATTTATTCGCTCTTATTATTATCCGAAATAAAGTGTAATCGTGATTATGTGCGCGTCGATAACGTCGTCACACGTTTGACACACGCGCGACGAAGAGGTCAGCGATCGACTCTTTAAGTTCGCGCTAGTGTATCATAAGTAAATAATTTCCACTTCTTCGGAATCATCGCGAGTATCGACGGATGATCATCCGTGAACCTCGATGACACACACGTCCGGCGCGAATCGCGCAATTCGCTCGTCAATGACGAACTTGCTGCTCGGATCGCACTTATCTCGCGACGTTTTTTTTCTCTCTCTCTTTCTCTCTCTCTCTTACAGTAACCGCGCTAGATTAGACCGACGTATCTATGTGAAAGATAATCCCCGGATGGCGCATTCGCGCGCAGAGGCATTCTCGACTCGCGCACGTGCTCGCCCATTCGCGCAGTTGTCTTTGATTAACAGCTGTACGCGCCATTCGATCTTCACCTTACCGAAAACGCATACGATTTACGCCGACGTTTCTTTCTCCTGCCAGTACAAATCCACACAAGCGTACGCGAAGTGAAAAGAAACACTGGTATCGATGGTTCACGCGGATAATTTTCAGCTTTAAAATGTATCGCGTAAAATATCACATTTCGCATAACGCGATGTGCATTAACGGACCCAGCGGTAAGATCGAGAAAGGAGTCGATACAATTTTTAATATCAATTTTATGCAGTGCGCTACCTCTCGTAAATATGCGGTTTACCGCTGTAAGTTTAATATGCGCGCAAGAGGGAAAATCCGCAATTAAATTAAATTTGAAAAAAAAGGTGGCAAGTAAAGCGGGCAATAATACGAAAGTATCGAAGTGTTAAAAAATCCGGTACACGCGTGCCATCCTTCCTCGCCGTTAATCTTCGTTCATATCGCGAGCGTGATTAAAAACTGCGCGTTTATCGGCCGATAAAGGTAAAATCGGTGCAAAAAGGGACCCGAGCGTTCGTCGCTGAAACGAATTACAACGGTAGTGCGTCTCTTAACAATTTTTCGAATATCCGTCTATGCGATTTTCAGAGTGATAATATAACAGCCGTCGAAACGCGGTACCGCGAGAAGCGAGTCCGATAAAAATGCGAGCGCGTATCGAATATGTCTTGTTAATTTATCGATCGGCGTGTTCGGCGCAGTGTAAATTGCTCCCGATGACATCGTCCGAATTATATTCCCTTTCACGTCGCTACTCATGCCTCTGTTTCCATTTTCATCGCGTATTTATGTTAAATGTGTGCTGTCCAATTTTCACCTCATATTTACGCCAAATGCCACTTTCGTGTTCAACGAATAAAGGAAGTTATCCCCCTGTGCAGCCGGAATACGCGCGATAGCGATAATTTTTTAATCAATGAGCGAATTCATTAAAAGTGAAACGTCGGGCAAGACATACTTGCGTTACACAAGTTCATTTCCCTGAAAGTCCCAACCTTCGAGGAGTCTCGTATTATTAAGTGCCAAACAGATCCAACAGGTTGCATTCTTCATATTACGCTAATGTTTCTAGATCAAAGTTAGCGTGAAACGTGAAATATCTTAATGCGCAGAGAGGAAACGGAGAGCCACTGTTACGATTGTGCGTTCCACACCGGCGGAAGTACAATACGGAAAGATGCGTGACGAATCCTTCGAATTTTTGAAAGAGAAAGGTCGCCCTTCTCTCGTTGCTTGGAGCGCCTTTCGTTAAGCCTCGACGGTAGATTACGAGAGGACGGAGCTGAGCGAAGAGCCGGGGAGCGTGCGGGAAAATAGTATACACCAACGGTATTATGCCGGGAAACGAAAGCAAAGTGTAAATAGTAACTGCGCTACCACACGACGAGCTAGATCGATCGGATCAGGAATCGAACTGCGAAAGCCGAGTCGAAGTTGAGGCAGGTTCGGGACGCCTGCACGCGCGTCCTTCCTCTCTTATCTCTTTCTCTTTTCCCCTCTCGTTCCCTCCGTCCCATCCGTTTCGTCCTGTTCGCCTGTCTTCGTCTTTCCCCTTCCTCTTTCATCACGGCCGTCTCGCTCTAGCGAGATCTCCGTCTGTCTCACGGCTCTGCTCTCTCTCTTTCTCTCCCTCTCTCCTTCTCGCCAACTCCTCTCTCGTTCTCCCCGTCGCGTACCTACGTGCCTCTCGCTCTTTCGTGGTCCAACAGGTTATATTTTTCCGCCAGCGACATCTCTTCCTCCCGTTTCTCTACTCCGGAGTCGCCGCGCTCTCTCCCTTTTTCCTCCTTTTTTTTCGGCTCCTATTTTTCTTAGGCCGGCACGCAGGCCGTTCTTCTTTCCGTCGTGGCACATGTTTCCGTTTCGTCGGGGACAACGTGGACAATCTTATCGCCACGTCGCACAATGATCAAATTCCGTTCCCTCCGAAGTCGCACTACCTGACAGATTTAACCCGCGCCAGTATTGTTTTATTTAAACGTGAAAAAAGATTGATTCTACAATAATCGCGCAAATTACCACCGATATCAAGATAAGATACGCAAAATGTATTGATGCAATAGGAAATTACGTGCTATTTTAGCACGAATGCGAAAGGGAAAACCGATATCTAGCATATAAATCGTGGATTTTCATGCCTTCAGAAACGTGTGTCGAACGGTGTTGATTAACAGCCCAACACTTTCCGCGAATAATCTTCGGTAAATTCGTAATAACCTCGCGGCTTACGCTCCCTAAGCCAGCGAAGGAGCTTCCGTAAGCGCGGATAATTAACGCCGCAATTAAAGCTCGCGTTGCTTGTATTTATTTTTCATTTTATTAAATTGCGACAAATGATTTAAGCAGCGTAGGACCGCCCGCACACACTCGCACGCGAGCAAACACGACTTACCGAGCAAAAGTAAATATTGTATCGCAAAAGTGCCGGGTGGGACGGGGGGGTGGGGGGTGGGGGAGGGGCATTAATTCGTTAAAAGCATTCCGGCGACAAGTATTTTTGCCTTTTTCTTTTTTTTAATCAGTATAAGTGCATCCTTCGTCCCTCGCGCGCTAATCTAGCTCGACCATTTCCATGTTCGCTGCCGCGAAACTGCATGAAACGCCACACGAGCCACCGCAATAATCATGTTTATAATTCGCGTCGAATAGTGGCTATTCAATTAAACGCTTCTTGGACCGGCGATGTATATTTATCGGGCGAAATCAGAGATCACCCAATCGTCATTATTCATGTGTCGTGTCGTCGTATCGGCGCTGCGCTCGTCATACGTGACGTTTGAATGTTAATCAATATGCCTTTTTTTTTTTTAGCGGAAACAGCTGAAAAATTGGCCGTCGAAATAACCGATAATATATTTACGCGTCTCTACAGACCGGCAATAAATAAACACTTTTG